CACAAACCGGCCAGAAATAACGACCTGGCTCGGGTAGATCTTTCTTTTATTCTCCAAAGCAGTTGTCCAGACACAGCAGAAAAAGAAACAGTTCAGGCTTTGGGGCAGCACATCCAGCACAACAGGGAGTATTATTTAAAATTTAAAAAAAAAAAGTAAAATCAGAAGAATAAGAGGTTTGGAACATAAAGAACTAAACACTGTCAGTACTTGCACAGCACTAGCAGTAATGGTGAAATACGGTAGATGGCTGTAAAACTCTCAAAAGCAAAATTGCTCCAACAGCTCTACTAGCAAAGAAGGAGCCTTCTGGAAAAAAATAAATACAAGGAAGACTTTTTTTGGTATTTTTCCTTTTTATATCCACAATGTAACATCATCATCTGCTATAACATGATCCCTGCCATCGCCCTTGAAGATCAAGGCCTGTGTCCTCAGAAAGGCTGCAGTAACTAGTCAGAGAAGTCCTGTAACTGGATGCAAGTTTCAGTAACAGTCTGTGGTTCTAACCAGACTTGAAAAGAAGAATAGCAACTTGGCCGAGGTAGAAGTAGATGAAGTGCTTGGTCTCATGAGTCACGTAGCTGCCAAAGTTCCTTCCCACGATACAGTGCCAAGTGGGATTATATTTCTTGTCAAACTCCTGTAAAACAGATCACTAAAAATTAAGAACTCTTCTAACAGGTACTCACTTTCTGAGCAAGGCAATTAGAAGAGCAGATGCTCTTAAGTACCAGGATTATCTTATTTACATCTTACTGTTCACCTGCTGCTTAGTCAGACACACAAAAACCCCACAACACTTCCCATCTGAGTAGTAGTAAGTTTAAAACATTTTGTTCAGGCAAATTAGACTTTCTCCTGCCCATAATTCATACCATGAACTACATCTACAGCCCTTAAGCAAAGGGCTAGTTTTGTATCCACAAGGACAAAGCTGTAATTTAGACTTCATTGTTCATCTGCAGCATGGCTGCTAAGGGGAAGAGTCTCTGCCACATGCTCTGTAACACCAGCATGATCAACAAATCTAAGAATTTGTGCCTTAACACATTTCAAACAAACCCTCTATAAATTCTCAGCAGTTGCTGCAAAGAAGATCTGAGAAGTACCAGACTAAACTCTTTTTTTCTAGTGTCATAGATCCTTCCTGCACCTGGAGGAAAAAAATGCCTTTCTGTGTTGTGGCCATAGCAAATGAATACTTCTCCAGTGGAAGCAATTATTCTGCTTAGCTGAATTACTTTTCATGTTAAAGCAGCTTCTCCACCCGATGTGTCCTGGAGCAGAGCCTCAGGCTATGGTACTTTGAGTGGTACAGCAGTTGAAACAGCTCAAGCTGGGTAAGAGTGACCCCAAACAAAGAAATTCTCAGGCAATTACATCCTACCAATCTCAGTTCCCCAACCTTCACATGACAGTTTGGACCAATAATAATATTAGGGCCTGGGGTTCTTTTGTTCTTCATAGAGTTTTTTCATTTTCTCCGGGCACTCTGTTTTAATCTCAGAGATGGTGGTTTCTGCTGACAGAGCTTCCTTATCTTCCAGCCTGTACCAGCTCTTGGGTTCTCCTTCATAGTATTAGTTAGAAGTTCAACATATCTGTGTGAAAATTCACAGCTTGGGGCCTAAGGGTTCAGCAAATGTGACTCCTAATGCCAAGCAGTTAACTCCACACAGCTTCAGTCCAATAGGCCTTAACATTTCAACAGCTCTTACACTCAGATCAGTTTAACTTCTATTGACGCACTTTGATTTCTCCCGAGCTGACGAAGCAGGAAATATAATCTGAACTAGATCTTTCCCATGCTCAGTATTGTTAATCCTACATAAAGGATGACACAGATATTGTGAACAACAGATAATCAGTGCCACCAGGATTTTTTTGTGGTTTTCTTTTTCTGTTTTGCTTATATCACCACATAACAAGAGGTGTG